GGATTGTAGACGGTGTTGTTCTAGTTCTGTCTAAAGACCTGAGAACCAAGAGAGCTGATGGTGTCCTTCCAGTCTGAAGGCCACCAGGCTTAACACTCAGAAGAGCCAATGTTTCAAGTCTGAAGGCAGGGAAAAGCTTATATACCAGCTCGAAGGTTGTCAGGCAGAGGAAATCCTCTCTTACTCAGCTTTTATGTTCTAGCCAGATCTTCAACTGATTAGATGAGGCTCACCCACAATAAGGAAGGCAATCCTTTTACTCAGTCTACAGATTCAAATGTTAATCTCATCCAGAAATATCCTCATAGACACACCCAGAATAATGTTTGGCCAAATACCTGGGCAACCGTGGCCCTGTCAAGTTGACACATTAAATTAACCATCATACCTATTTTCCCATGGTTATGAGAGGTAAACTCCCTAAGCAAATCCCAGGAGGTATATGATTAAGGAACAGGTGACTGGAGGAAGCTTCGAGAATCTGTTCTATTCCACATTTTTGTATTCCTGCCTTCCGAGCACAGGGCATTAACATTAGTTAAATGAGTGGACTGCTGGCGCAAGGAGAAGAGTAATTCTTTTAAACACTGTGAAGAAAGTAGACCTTTGGAGAGCTAGGTAGACCTACAGACTGAGTAGGACCTCCCTGGGAGTCCTTAATCCCCAGAGCCTTTCCTTCTTTTTGCCCCACTCTGCCTGGGAACCCTATCATCCTGTTTATTATTTCTATAGGGAAATGGATCCTGAGCACTACACAACTAACTTTAAAACTTTGGGAACGCAAAGTGTTTTTAAGCTGGGAGGATGCCTTCTTATACTATTCATTATGGGAGAAAAATGTAAGGAAAAATTACTAAGCACTATCTAAGAGCCAGAGGTTGCCTATTTTTTTATTCCATTTTCTATTATTTGCTTTTAGTGTAGCTCCAGAAAGTTTTGGATAAAAATTAGCTAGCACATAAATATGTAGGCTGGTGGTCCTAATCACCTGCTTTCAGCTATGGCTGTGTAGCAGTTTGCTGCCAGGTGTTAATATTGGCTAGCTCATATCCCTGTAATACCTGTACACGGTCAGTAACTGAAGAGGACTGTAATTAATTTATGTGGTTTTTGACCTCTTCCGGTTTCATTCCAGAAAAAAGTATCTAAAAACGAGACCTTTGGAAGGATTTTTTTAATAAAAGGAAAACAGATGTTATGGCAGATTTTATTTTCCTTAAATGACTGCAACAATCTCATTCCACCTGCTGTTCTTACAATATAATGGACACTCCCTCCACTGAGAGGTGTAGTCTCTGTCCTTTCCCCTTATATGTGGCGGCTTTTGACTGCTTCAACAAATAGTGTACAGTGGAAGTGATGTTCTGTGACTTCTGAGATGAGTCATAAAAGTCGGCCACCTTCCCGCCTTGTCCTCTTGGGACTCTTATCTTGAAATGCTCACTTTTGGAACATAGCTGCCACGCTGTAAGAAAGCCAAGCAGCCACAGGAAGAGGCCACATATAAGCATTCCAGCTGACAGGCCCAGCTGAGGTCCCAACAACAGCCAGCATCAACTACCAGACATGTTAGTTAACAAGCCTTCAGATTCCATACCCTGGCTTTGACTTTGAGCTGGCCCAGTTGATATAATGTGGAGCAGAGATAAGCAGTCCCAACGGGTCTTGCCAGAATTGCATATTTATGAACAAAATAAGTGATTGCTGTTGTAATTTACGCCACTAAGTTTGTGATGAGCAGACAGGTATAAATAACACTACTATAGACATTTGACATATATTTAAATCATGTCCAATCGCTTACATCAATCTTTTTATTAGAATATAGTTGCTTTACAATATTGTGTTAGTTTATACTGTATAGCCAAGTGAATCAGCTATACGTATACATATATCCCCTCTTTTTTGGATTTCCTTCTCATTTTGGTTACCACAGAGCACTGAGTAGAGTTCCGTGTTCTCATTAGTTATCTACTTTACACATAGTATCAATAGTGTATTTATGTCAATTCCAATCTCCCAATTCATCTCACACCCCGTTTCCCCCTTCTTACATCAATATTAAATTATCTCATAATCAGTGAAAATTTCATATAGCCTATGGCCATAAGAAGTATACCACTCTGATCTCATCCTTGGTCCTATATTGTCACAAGGCAATCCTTCCTCAAGTCTGAGAATCATGGTGACCCCTCAGTTTATCAGGTTTTTTTTTTTTTTTGTGGCTGCGATTGGGTCTTCATAGCTGGTGCGTGGGCTCCAGGCACACAGGTTCAATAGTTGTGGCTCTCAGGCTCACTAGTTGTGGCTCACGGGCTGCAGAGCACAGGCTCAGTAGTTCAGGCGCATAGGCTTAGCTGCTCTGTGGCATGTGGTATCTTCCCGGACCAGGGTTCGAACCGGTGTCCCCTGCATTGGCAGGCAGATTCTTAACCACTGCGCCACCAGAGAAGCCCCTATCAGGTTATTTCTTGACTCAACTAACCCCATACCCTAACACCAGTTTAGGGGCTGGAGAGAATTTACTGGTATCTTCTCGGAATACAAAATGAGAGGTTTCTTGCTTTATTAAACACTCTTTACATCTGAAAATTTGAAAAATGTTTTCTACACATTTATCCCAATCCTTTTTAGTAGTTTTGAATAGGGATGGCAGGTGACGGTGGGTAAAGGGGTATTTTTACAACTGTCACTACACAACTCATTTATACATCTTCCCTAACCTTTCCTAAGGAGTGTGCTGGATATTGCTGAATTATTATTATAAATTATGTTTTGTAATGACTACAGTGTAAGGGGTTTCATCTTGAAAAATATGTTTGGACTCCCAGAACAAATTTTAACTGATGGAAATGACTTATTTTTTTTGAAAATACAGTTTATCATTAATTTTCCTTCCATCTCTCTCTCTCTCTCTTTTTTTTTTTTTTTTTTTTTTTGCGGTACGCGGGCCTCTCACTGTTGTGGCCTCTCCCGTTGTGGAGCACAGGCTCCGGACGCACAGGCTCAGTGGCCATGGCTCACGGGCCCAGCCTCTCTGCGGCATGTGGGATCTTCCCGGACCGGGGCACGATCCCATGTACCCTGCATCGGCAGGCGGAGTCTCAACAACTGCGCCACCAGGGAAGCCCTCTTTTCGTCTCCAAAATGTTCAAAATACCTGCTTACATAGAGACTTATGTGCAGGTATTTTGAGAATCCAAAGATGTACAAGACATGGACCTTCACCCTTTCAAGAAGAATAAGTAATAAGGGTTAATAGGGAAAGTGAAGTAGCCCTATGGTAGCACGATCAGCCTTGAGATAACCAAGAAATAACTTTGTAATTTTAATCAATTCGTAAGAGTTATTGTGGTGGGACCTAGTCCTACCAGACCATTTGTCAAAGCCCTCTACCGTGTCCTTCACTCATTAAAAAGAAACAGTTCTAATAAGGTCAAACCAGGCAAAATTTTAGTTGTCTTTTCTTCTAATTTCTCCTGTTCCCTTTCCCCCTAATCCTCTCTCTGGATGCCATCCATACCCGTTCCTTTTCCCATTCGGCGTCTCTTTACCATTTTTTCTTGTTTACTCGTTCATTCCAGCTTCCCAACCGTTTGCATCAGCCCGCAGGAAGTTGCTCCCTCCTCAACTCTTCATTCCCAGAATCCACCCAACCGGGTTGTATTGTGTACATTTTAGAAATGAGACTCAATGAAAAGGCCCAGGAAACCGGGCACTGTATTTCTAAATCCCATCTTTCTTAAATGCTTCAGCTACACCCAAGGCCCGATGGAGGAGACTGGGCTCCTCGCCCAGGTGCCAACGACGTGGAATTATCAGCCTCAGGCAGCCCCAGCTGACGAGATAAGGAGCAGTAATGACAGCAGTAAACGAGGCGAAGCCCCAGAGGAGCCGCGAGCTTCTCCACGGCAGCCAGACGTTGATCCTCCGCCCCTCCCACGCTCTCCGCCCTGGCTATCACGATAGTGATGGGAAGGGAGCAAGATGGCGCCGTCCCTCCCCGCCCACGGCAGCCTGGGCGTAGGGGCGGGGCCACTCGTGTCACGTGACCGCACCGCTAGCCGCGCGCCCTCAGCAGACTCGAGCGCGCTCAGGCAGTTTGGCGATATCGGAGGTAGTGCCTCTTCCCTTCTAGGGGCGTCTTCTCGTGTCCCCGCGAAGTCTGGACGCTCTCTCCCTGCAGCCGAGGGCCGGAGCGGGGCCAGGAAAGGAGGCACTGGGCCGTGCAGAGGCAAAGGGTCTGCGGAACGAGGTCCCTGCATCCCGTGCCGAGGCAGGAGGTCGGAACCCCCAGCGAGGGGCTGGGCCGGAGAAGCCCTCGCGGGCGTCTTGGGGGACTGTCTGGCGCTGACGGCGAGGCTCTTGGGGAGGTTCGGGGCATTCCACCCTGGCCATGGGCGGCGTGGGGACCAGCAGGTCCCTTCGGGGCTCCAAGCATTTGACTTGGGCATTTTCCGGGTTTCCCATCGCCACGTAGCCTCGAAGCCAGCAGGACTGAAAAAAAGGCTGCAGTCCAATGTTCTCTTCCCTCTGAGGAGAGGGGCTGAGCCCGTCCGCCGGAGGGGACTCGAGAGGGCTGCCCCGGGGGTGGCCAGAAGCAGAGGTTGAAGAGGGCGGCGGGAGCGGAGAGCGCCCTCCTTGACCATCAAATGCCTCTTGTGTTTCTCTGTCTGCTGAGTGGGCTTGGACGCACTGACCACGCGGGAGGAGGGATGGACGACGCTCGGCGGGCTCTGACCGTGCCGCCTTCATGTGGCTGCTGACGGGAACCCCGGAGGGAACGGGCATGGGGCGAAGCCTCGCCCTCTCCGCTCCCCACCTCCCGGGCGCCGGGGCTGGCGATGTGGAGACGTGAGAGGACCCGCGGCTGCTCCGGGTTCTCCAGGTCTCCACTAGGCACCCACGTGTTCCTCCGCGCCTGAGGCAGGAGAGAGTGGTGCGGAGGTCTGAGGCGGGCGCACAGCTGGCTAAGACGGAGCTAGAGCTCCAGCCTCGCCATGGGGCATAACGGCAGCTGGATCTCCCTAAACGCCAGCGAGCAGCGCAACGCGTCGGGCGCCGGGGCGGAGGGCGCCAACCGCAGCGCGTTCGGGGAGTTCGGCGAGGCGCAGCTGTACCGTCAGTTCACCACCACCGTGCAGGTCGTCATCTTCATAGGCTCGCTGCTCGGTAAGCCGCCCGCGGGGCGCCTCCCGGATGGGCTTCCCCGAGGGTGCAGGCTCGGAGAGCCGGGATCGGGGGTCGCCAGAGCCGCCGTGGGTTTCCGGGTGCGTGGCAAAAGTGCAGATAGTTGAAGGAGGTTTAAGAATGTCAGGGTATCTGCAGGGAAGTTAAGCATGGAGGGTCGACTCCAGCCCCCAAGCTGGAAGCAGAAGAATTCCGGTAGGGCTTGGTCCCGGCTGGAGGGTGGGTTGCCTGGTCCTGGGCCCCAGGCGGCCCTTGCGGAACGCTTCGGGATGGGCACGGGGTTGTGCCTATCACATGCCTTACCTCCCGGGTGCCAGGGCGGAGCTCTGGCCCGACCTCTTGTTTACAAATAGCGAGCAACGAAGCTTCTGTTTTGTTGCTGGTGACTGATGTGTTTTGCGCTCCATCTATTCCCTGTATATAATTTTTTTTTTTTTGCGAGCCTTATTTTGCGCGTTTTTTAAATGGCTGGCTTCTTCGGAACAGCAACCTGCTGGTAAACAAACCTGTGGACTTAAACTCTATGTTGCCTTAGATATTTTTAAACCCCTAAACAAAACAAATCCCAATCTACTTCTTTCTCTATTTTTTTTTCTGAAGTACAGCATAAAGACAGGATAAAAAACACAAAATGCCACACACAACAAATTTAGGAATACTTGTTAGGGAAAG